TTTTAGAAGTTTGATATGCTTGGCATAGATTTCTTTGATTTTATCCTGTTTGCAGTTTGCTCAGTTTCTTCAGATTTTTGTCTTAACCAAGTTTTGGAAGTTTTCCATCATTCTTACTTCAGTTATTCTTTTAGGTCCACTCTTGCCTCCCTTTCTGATATATACGATACCAACATTGGCGCTTTGTCAGTGACCCATGGGCCCTTGAAACTCTACTCCTATCTATGTGTTTTTACTATATTATTTTTCTGTTGCGCAGATGGGGAAATTCCATTGCTCTCTCCTCCAATGCACAGATCTTATCCTCTGCCATCTCCTCTCTCCTATCAATGCTATCCAGGAAGTTTTCATTTCTGTTGTATTTTGTCAGTTCCATCATTTTCATTTGGCTTTTCTGAATAATTTGGGGTTTTTTTGTGTGCTTTTTTATAATTTTAAATTGTTTGAAGAGAATTTTGAACTTGTCATTTTATGATAACTGCCTTAGAACCCTTTCCAGATAATTCCAACATCTGACTCAATTGGTATGGGCATCAACTGATTCTTTCCACATTTAAGTTGTGATATTCCTAGTTGTTGATATGATGGGTGATTTTTTTTTTTATTGTATCCCAGACATTTTGACTGTCATGTTAGGAGATTCTGGGTCTTGTTTTTGTTGCAATAGGAAGTTACCTTGTTAAGTTCAGCATGCAAGTCCTGGCCTATTCTGGCTAAAGTTCAAATGACAATTGTCAGAACCTCTGCAGATTTATTTTCCTCCGCCTGGCTTATCTGGTGCTGCTGGCGGCAGAAAAGTTTACCAAGTCAGCCTTCCCAGGGTCTCGTGATAACAAAGTGAGTTTCAAGCCCAGTGTGGAAGGACAGCATTTGCCCTGGCTACTGACTGTTAGTGGGGCTCCTGATTGGTGCCCCTTGCTCATGGTACTTGCTTGGAAGTGTCAGAGGAGTGCCCAAATTGTAAGAGAAATAAACTTCTATGGGCTACTCTCTGTTGCTAGATTGGGGGTCAGAAGCCACCTGGTTTGGTTTCCTTAGCATCAGGCCCTTCCACCATACCATTTCTGTGTTTGAACCTACTGGCTCTGAAACCATGAGCCAAAATAAATGTCCTTTAAAGTTGTGTCAGGTACTTGGTCCCAGTGATGATAAAGTAAGATGCAGATTCTAATGTGTATAATGGTTGCACCACAGGGCTTCCCATTACTGGTGTAGGGTTTAGCGTTCTCAAGCATGCCAAGCTGCTAGACACACACCAGCTCCTTTCCCGAACCCATAGTGTTAACTTTTCTATCCACGTAGAGTATGTTATGTGCTCGGTCTCGTTAGTTATATAGATTTTTTTAAATAAAAATTCCTGTATCTTCATTGCATTAAAGCTTCAGAAGGAAGCAACAGAAATATGTATGTTTAATCTGCTATTATCATCTGGAAGGCTTACCTTGCTTTGCTGTCAGATAAGACACTAGATCAAAAAAGCAGCCAAGTGAGAGTCCATGAAATGAAGTAAGGTATTAAATTCATGGATGGCGGGATTAGCAGAAATGTGGCAGGCAGAACGCAAATCCAGATCCAGCAGGTGAATCCAAGGGACTCTGGTAGGGCACCCATCTGTTCCCACTCCTAAGAGACGCATGATCCACTAATGGCCCCCAAAGTCAGGCTTGGTTTCCACCCATGCCAGTCTGCAGCCTGTTGCAGTAACACTGCCCATCTTGCCTCTGGCACTTACAAGCCACTGCTTGGCCTCTGCCCCTGTAAGAGCTCTTTATGCTCCCTGAAATCAGGCAGCACCTGAAAGGCAGAGGCTCCCACCCATCCTTGGCCATCACAGCATGTGCCAAAGTTGCCAACACCCCTTGATTCCTCTGTGCCAGGCAAATGTGTCCTCTGAGCCCACTCAGCAAATGGGTGCCAATGAATGCAAGTGACATGCATGGTAGAGCCTCTGACATGCCTGCTTCCCTCAATCTTTGCAATCCTCTCTCTGAGTTACATGAAAGCATCTCGGGCATCCAGACCTCTCACAGTACTGTCACCTTTTGTCCAGAAGTCAGCGAGAAGGCAGAGCACCAGGAGGGCTTGGCTGCCCCAGCTCATGCTCCATGTTTGCCTGACATGAGTTTCTCTATGTGCAGCCTTCTTAGCCACAAACTGCGTGCAGTTCCTGCTGGCTGCTATGGCTTAGACAGAACCTTTAGGGGTGACCCGGAGTCAGGATCTTAGGCCACACAGCCTGGCAATGGCCAGGCCTCAGGCCGAAGGACAGATCCCACGGCTGGTCCCGTGGACCTGGGAAAGTGGTGACAGCAGTTTCAACCGTGCTGTCCCTCAGATGTCTTTGCCACAGCAAGGACTTTGCCCCTTCCCACTTCCTCTTCTGAATGGAAGTCTGGGAAATTTGGGTCATGTGGGGAATGGAGCTCAGCAGGAGTCTGTGTTCTCAAGGAGGCTGGAAAAACAAGGTCGGGTTAGGGAAGGACCACCGAGGTGGGAACTGTCTGAAACACAGCAAGACCGTGTAGGACACAAAGGGCCACCCAGTGTGACCAGTGTCTGCTGCAGATGACGGCATGGCTGCTCAGCAGCATTTACTTGCCCCACTGAATCATCTGAGGCAGGCCACTCAGGAAGAGGGTTATTTAGGTCCTATCCCAAGGGTCACAGGTGTGCCCTCGGTACCCAGCTCTGGTGAGGCCCCCAACTGAGTCCGCTCATGGTGGGGGGGCCACAGCAAGCTCAAGTGAGGAGTCGGGAAATCACACCTCAGCACAGGAAGCCAGAGACACGGCCAGGCTGGCTCAGGCACACAGGCCAGCCCTCTCCCGAGATCCACCAGGAGGTCCCGGAGAAACCACTCAATCTGTTCCCAGACAGTGACCTAAGGACCTGCCACTTGGCCACCATCTTCACCACCACAGCGGAGCCGTTAGGGGGACGACATCTAACTCACAGCAGTGACCCAAGAGTTATTGCAGTGGAGTGATGGGCACAAGTGGTCAGAACATTCTTATACTATATTTTTTACTTTTTCCATAATTATTATTAAAAAATAAACAGTGGCACCCATGAGTAAGCTTGTACAGGAGTCCACATGGCCCCCTCTGCTTATCTCCTACTCACTGCTGTTTGCTTTCCAGCTCCACATCTCTGGTACATGCCAGTGCTCTTACGCCTCAGGGCCTTTGCTCAAGCTGCTCCCTGCCTGGAACCCTCTGTGGCTGGATCCTGCCCAAGGGTAGCCCTCTCAGTGAACCCATCCTGACTATGCCACGGAAAACCTGTAAGGCTCCGGCCATCATTTCCCACAAGCCCTGTCCTGCTTCCCTCTTGCCCAAAGCAGTCACTGCCATCTGATGTTTGTAGAATCACTCATCTGCTGCCACCTCCACATGAGGTCCCTCAAGGCAGACATTCCTGCCAGAACCGTTCATGCCCAGGACTCGGCATTTCAGAGCTTCAGAGAGTGGGTTCTCGGCAGGTGAAGGAGCCACGTGTGCACATTCTCAGGGGATGGTGTAGGTAGTGAGCCTTATGGGATCAAACGTCACCTAAAAATACCCATGAGGTCATCCGGCAGACATAAATGAATTGAAACATCAGTTCCTCTCCTTGTCTGGGGAAAAGGAGACTGCAATCACTGGGTGATCATTCTTAGGAAGGAGCAAGGTCAGGAGACCAGCTTTCCCTCCAGCTGGGCCAGCTGGCAGCCACGGATGTGCCTAAACTGTGGAGCCCCTCAGAGCGGTTTCACACTTGCTAGAAACACCCTGCAGTGTGGGGTGAGGCTGGGAGCTTCCACTTGCCTCTCAGGGCAAGGTGGCCAGGACCTGTGCAGGGCCTGCCCAGGGTGAGGCCCCAGGACCTGCTGGGGAGGTGCATGGGTGACAGTAAGGGACACCGCTCCAGAGGAGTGACACTGCTGGAGCCACAAAGGGAGGTGACACCGTCCTGGCCCAGCCCGACTGAGGTCCTCTCTCCTGTCCCCACACACCGGGGCTACAAACAAGTGACTCAGAGGACGGATGGGAGAGAGCCCCATAATAGTTCATACCAGAGTTCTGGGGCTAAATTTAACCCACAGCTGTGGCTGCTGGCACTTTGGGAACAAGATAATCTTGGAGTGTGAGTGTGCATGCTTTGGGGCAAGAGTCCGGAGCAGGGTGGGGATGGGGACCCACTGTCCCGGGTCTCCACTCTGACTCCCTAGATCAAAGAGGCCAAGCAGGCCACACCAACACCAGTGTGGACCAGGGACCGTGAGCAGAGCCAAAGTCCCGGGACCGCAGTGTCAAGTTTTGTACACTGGGATTCAGAATGTCACTGCCCTGGGATGAGAAAACCTGGAGGGCTAAACACCTAGAACATGAAAATCCTAGCAAAGCAATTTTCTAGCAGGGCTGGCATGTCAGGATGTCACAGCCCTGTGTGCTCCTGGGGACACAATACCTCAGTGTCCTCGAATCTTGGTAGAGCCTGGCTGGGGCCCTTGGAGTCCATCTCTTTCACCTCCCCCTGGTGTGGGAGGAGAAACTGAGGCTTTGCAGAGAGCCCACCCCAGCTCCGGGCCCCTCAGGTAGTGGTGGCCTTGTTTACCCACGGGCTTCCCTGCAAAGAGTCTCAGAACAGGGGCAGAGAGGAAAAGGGCTTTTGGTTCTAAGGTTGGCAAGAGAGGGCTCAAGAGTTATGGCCACCGTGCCGCTCAATGAGCAGGAAACCGAGACTCCGTACCAGAGCCAGACAGGCCCAGAGGAAAAGGGAGGGAGACTCTGGCAGAACCTGGGGTGGCCCCCACCAAGGAACCCAGGCTCAAGGCCTCGTGCTTCCACTGGAGGGGCAGTAAAGGCCCCCCACCTACAGGCTGAGTCAAGGCTGCTCTGGGAGGGGCCCCTGCTCAGCTGTTCCCAGCCTGTCATGTGCAGGGGGCCTGGCGACTCATCTTACAGGAGTCCTCTATATATAGCGCTGAGGGACAGCTGCGCAACCGAGCACAGCGGGCCGGCAGGGAAGCAGGGGCACCATCGCGGCACCCTAGGGCACCCGCTGCACCGTCACTGCCTTCTGGGGCACCAACCATGGCGCTGGGCTTGGAGCAGGCGGAGGAGCAGCGGCTCTACCAGCAAACGCTGCTGCAGGACGGGCTCAAGGACATGCTGGACCACGGCAAGTTTCTGGACTGCGTGGTGCGTGCGGGCGAGCGCGAGTTCCCGTGCCACCGCCTGGTGCTGGCCGCCTGCAGCCCCTACTTCCGTGCGCGCTTCCTGGCCGAGCCCGAGAGCGCGGGTGAGGTGCGCCTGGAGGAGGTGTCGCCCGACGTGGTGGCCCAGGTGCTGCACTACCTGTACACGTCGGAGATCGCGCTGGACGAGACGAGCGTGCAGGACCTGTTCGCTGCGGCGCACCGCTTCCAGATCCCGTCCATCTTCACCATCTGCGTGTCCTTCCTGCAGAAGCGCCTGTGCCTCTCCAACTGCCTGGCCGTGTTCCGCCTCGGCCTCCTGCTCGACTGTGCGCGCCTGGCCGTGGCCGCGCGCGACTTCATCTGC